TTCTTATAAAGTTAAGCATACATTCTCTTGAAATCCTGTAATCCTACACCTACGTATTTATTCAAAAGAAATGAAAACATATGTCCACCCAAAGACTTGGACTTGAATGTTGAAAGCAGTTTTACTCATAATAGCCACAGCTGGGTACAACCCAAATGACCACCGACAGGTACATTCAGACAGTGCCATAAAAACCCACCAGTGTGCAACAATGAGCTCTTTGGTTCTCAAAAGTATTATGTCGGGTGAAAGATGCCGTTGCTGTACAGCCAAGCCCGCAAGATGTCAGGGCTTCAAACCACATTCGTGATCTCAGCTTTTCTATCAGGGTGCCTGACTCTACAGTTGGATGTCATCTGACAGCTCACAGAGCTCAAGGTTCAGCAGCAGAACCCACTTCCGGTCTCAGGCAGGGTGTAGGGCAGAACTTGGTTCCTGTCCCTCTGGAGACTGGGACCATATTCCTACTGGCTGTTGGCTGAAGCTGCCCTCCTTCCTTGCCCTGTGATCCTTTAGCTCACATAGCCAGCTGATTTCATGGAAAGGAGCTGCACAAGATGTGCCAGCGAGATTTAAGCTACAGCCTTTATGAATGAATCCTGCGATTCCTCAGTGCTCCTGGCTGTCATTACAAGCCACTGGGTCCATACCACATACAGGGAAGCAGACCACAAGAACCAACAGGCAGGATCTTGGAAGCTGTCGTGAAAGGCCAATGTCATTTCCATATTTCAGAAAGGGCGAAGCTGTAGTGAAAGAAGACAGGTAGATACCCTGGTCATTCTGGACTAGGGCTGGGGGAGGAGACTGACTGACAAAAGGGGACTTTTTAAGGTGATGGATTCTGGTGGTGGTTTCTACAAACCTGCACATATTCAACACTTGTCAATTTGCATACTTAAAATCAGTGATTTTATGGTAAATGAATTTTGTCTTAATAAAACTAATTAAAAAATAAAATAAAATAATATACAATCTGGACTCCAGTCTATGACCTAATGGGTTTTGCTTGATCTGACTCTGTCTGCCTTGCTCCACTACCCTGCCCCATTGCTCGCACCAGGCCCGCGTCAGCCTGGCTTTGCTTGCGTTTGGACTTGCTAGTGGGCTCTGGCCTCTGGACCTTTGTGCTGTCCATTCTCCTGGAATGCTATCCGGGTCTTGGTAGCTGCCTTTTTTTTTTTTTTTTTCCAAAAGTGGTAGGGTGTTCTGCAAGTCTCAGCTCTGTCACCCCATAGAACCTACTTCATAGTATCTGTTCACTGACTACCCAGCCAAAGTGTCCTCCAGCACGGCTACACTTGACCATGTCATCTTACTTAAGTCCCTTACGACATGTGTTATGCTGTAACTCACCTCTTTCTCTCTCTAGTTTAGTGACCTATTGTCTATCTTCTCCTAGGAACAGGGACCTTTTATCTCTTAGTCACATCCAACACTGACACCAGTAGCCGGCCTGTGATAGGATGGCCAGTTCTCTGAATGGCTGAGGTGGACAGGGATCTGTGAGGGGCTCCCTGAGGTACTTTAATTCCAGTGTCCAGGATGAGAAAGATGACAGCAAATCTGCCTTAATTTCTCTAACATCCCAGAATCAGCATCCAGGTCAGCAGGAGCCAGGGGGTCCAGTTGTCTTCCTCACCTGGCACCCGCGGGAGCCCACAGAGGCCACGATGCAATTTCAGCCCAATGTAGGATTTTGTCTCCCTGGCCATCCATTTTGGGATTTTCACATTATCAGCTCAGTCATGCTCATCTCCAGCATAGGATGTTTATCTCACTTGATTGACACTTGTGTTTAACATTTTCTATCGTAGGAACAAATTCAAAATGTCATTTTAAAAACAATATATGAAGCTGGAGGTGGTGGGCTCATACCTGCAATCCCGGCTACTTGGGAGATGGAGGCAGGAGGTAGGAGGATCCTGGTCCGAGGCCATCTGGGCAAGTGTGAGCCTTCTCTGAAAAGCAAATTAAAAGGAAAAGAACAGGGGGGCGGGGCTCAAGTGATGGAGCCCTTGCCTAGCAAGCATGAGGCCCGGAGTTCAAAACCCAGTATCACCGAAAACAAATCGAAATACTGCAAAATAAATAAACAAGTAATAAAACTTAAATATGAGGCTAGAATTCTGGCTTCTCTACGTTAGATACGAGCGATGGTACGTGCATATGTACCATCTGGCTCAAGTGTGGATTTTTGTCCTAAGTGCCAAAGTTTGATTGTTGGTGATTCTTATGCCTTGGTTGCTGCATCCCCCGTTGATGTAGGTGGCTGGTCTCGGGGCGGCTCTAAGTGCTTTGCATTTGCTCCTGCCTGCCAAGTTTCTTCTGCTTGCTCAGATGAATGGATTCCATCTGAAAACCTCAGGATTAATAATTACACCCTCAGCTCAATAAAACCCGCTCTGTATCTCTGCCATATTCTCTATTCTTCACAAATCATCAGGCAGGGACTTCAAATCTACCTAATGTAACTCCCTCTTGCAGGCTGCATGACTCACCTCCACCTCCCAGGGCCGGGCAGCCTGCTGCTGCCATGGGTTCAGGCCAGCTCTCTGCTCTGCCCAAGCCTCACCCTGTGCCACGAGCACCAAGGAAGGCAAAGGAGCCCATGGGCTTGCCTGAGTTGGCCTTCAGTCCTCTCCTTTGCGGCTTTCTTGAGGCCACTCAGGCCTTGCTGTCTACAGATCTGCTGAGCCAGTGACTCCTGGGGCTGGGGGCTCCAGTGACTCCAGGTGTCCTGCTCTGTGCCATCAGGGGAGAGCATCAGATCTCCCCACACTGGACAAGAGATAGCAGCCATTGTCCTGGGCATCCAACTAGAGGTCCACTCGATGGAGATGCATAAGCAATGAGGGAGACTGAGGAGACTGGTGTCTGGAATCAAATGCTAGGCTTGGAGTCCCAGCTGCTTTTCTACTGCCCTTCTAGGCTGGCAGTGGACACTACCCTGTTCTCGGGTCACCAAGCTAGGAGGAGGGGCCTGTAGGGAGCACATGGCCTTCGGAGATAGATGCCTCCTTGTGATGGGTCCTCAGTGTTTCTGAAGTCACAGGCGGAGGAATTCCCCAACCTTACAGCAGTAGTGGTGTGAACGTGGAAATAACCCAGCATTTTCCAGAGAAGGGAGGCAGCTGAGCCCCTGCTAAAAACAACCTGGGACTTTTATTATTTTATTTTTATTATTATTATTTTTTTGTGGTGGCACTGTGGTTTAACTAGGGCCTCACGCTTGCTAAATAGGTGCTTTACCACTTCAGCCATGCCCCCAGCCCTTTTTTGCTTCAGTCATTTTTTTAGATAGGGTCTCTTGCTTTTTGCCCAAGGCCAGCCTCGAACCACAATTCTCCCTCCTGATCTCTGCCTTTTGAGTAGCTGGGATTCTATGTAGTACAGCGTCCAGCCAATTTTTTATGTTCTGTATTGGCATTTGAACGCAGGGCTTTGTGCTTGCTGGGCAGGCAATCTACTGCTTGAGCCGATCCACTAACCACCTGAGATGGTTTTTTTTTTTTTTTTTTCCGGTGGTGCTGGGGTTTGAACTCAGGGTTTCACACTTGCAAGGTAGATGCTCTACCACTCTTGAGTGCTCTCCCTCCAGCCCCCTAGTTTTTATATTAGCATAAATAAATCGTATAAAGGGGTTTCACTGTGATATTTCTATGCATGGATGTAATGTACTTTAATCACATTTACCCCACTACTCTTTCTTCACACTCTCCCCCTCTTTTTTGGAACAGTTTTTAGTGGGTTTTGTTATATATATAAATATATATATATGCACATCAATCATATTTGCCCCCCTCACCATCTCCTTTTTCTCCTCCTTCGTTTTGGCTCCCTCTCCAAACAGTTCTCTTTTACAATCACACTGAGACACTTTTTCGTTTGTGTGTTTGTTTTTGCAGGACTGGGGAATCAAACCCAGGGCCTTGTGAATGCTAGGCAAATACTTAACCACTGAGCTACATCCCAGCCCCTGGAGACTCTTTTAACAGACCCCAGTGTTATGGTTCCTAGAACTGCTCCCTACTCTCACCCTGTAATTTTGTACATGAAGAAAACCAAGCCGGCAGAAATGTTCCCTGAGGACACACAGCCAGTCAGGAGGAGAGCTGGGAGCATACTCAGCCCCTGACTGTGAGATTTCCCGAATCCTCAAAGGGAGGGGAGCAGTGGATTCTTCCTTCTAAGCCGCGTGGAAACCCCTGCCATGGGGCCTGCGCTAGCCTGGAGCTGCCACGCAGGACCACGGCTCTGGTTCCTAGTCCTTGGGTGGTGGGGCTGCTCCTCAACTGGCTTACTAGTTCTGAGGTAGCTGAGCTTCCCTGGGTGGAGCTGAAGATGAGGATGGGGAGAAAGATGGGTTACACATGTCTGGAAGTGGGACAAAGCTCAGAAATGATAGCAAAGTGATTTGCAAAAGTCCTGAAGAAGGAAAAATGAAAATTCCCATTCTTTGCATCCACACTGAAACCCCAATTAGGGACAAAATGGAACTAAAATGAAACATGCAAGCTGTGAGGAGAAAGCGACATTTTGCTTTACAGTAGGTAAATACTGCAGCACTCTGGGAGGGAGCGGCCATCAGGCCCGCGGATGAAGTTGTGACACTGTAAGTAAGCCCAACTTGTCTGCGGTGATTTCTTCACCTGCTTCTCTACTTGCTGTTTTGAAACACATTTGTCTTTAGGACTCAAGAAGAGACAAGTGGCTGCCACCAAATAACCAGACCAACGACTAGATGTCTGTCCAGCCTAGCCTGAGCTACACATATGAAGGGTCCAACTCCATGGCAAAGTCCAACGTTCGTGTTACGCACAGAGAGTGGAGGCGACTGGAGAAAACAGCCATAGAGACTGGCTCACCAGAGGAAGTTGGTCCGTCCAGTCATGGCCAACAGTCTCTCCAGAGATCATCAGCCCTGAAAGCTCAGACATTGGGAGGAGTGTGACTTCAAGGTGACTTCATTGCATGGTTCCAAACAGGCTGAAACACACCGGTGAGGAGCATCGTCCAGAGGCATGCTGACCACAGTGCTGGCTTTTGGAGACCACACCTGCCGCTTTACTGCATTGGTTAAGCAGTTATTGTGTGCAGGGAACACAGTGAAAGGAAAGGGCCGGCAGACACCATCCCCCGGGGAGCCTGAGAGGAAGGGACAATGTTCTGTGCAGATCACAGACTCAGGCAGGAGCTTCAGAAGCACAGGTAGTCAGTGCTTCCTCACCAAAAGGACTCTCTCCAGCTTGGGCAATGAGGACCCTGAAGGGGGCATTTCTTAGAGCCAGGTTATAGGACTTAACAAACCAAATCAGGAACCAGGCAAGGGTTTTGCAGTACTGGGATTTGAACTTAGGGTTCTACCTTGAGCCACTTTCCCTTTTTTTGTGATTTTTTTTTTTTTTGATAGGGTCTCAAGAACTGTTTGCCTGGGCTGGCTTTGAATTGTGGTCCTCCTGATGTCTGCCTCCTGCGTGGCTAGAATTACAGGCATGAACTTGTAAAACTTCCTTATACTTTATGTTCAAAGGAATTAAAATAGCAGATGTGTGGGGCCTCCATTTTCTCAGCCCTTTGGCGGCCTGGAGGTGGAGCTCAGCTTATCAGAGCCTCACCTGTCAGGCCGTCCCAAAGGGTATGCTGGAGCCTGATGGTCTCAGACAGAGAAGTCAGGGTCTTCCCTCTACCACAGCAGGGGTTTTTATGTTTTAATTTTTATTTATTTTGTGGCACTGGGGTTTGAACTCAGGATTCATACTTGCAGAGCAGGGGCTGTACCCTTTGAGCCACACCTCCAGTCCATTCTGCTCTGGTTATTTTGGAGATGGGGGTCTCGTGTACTATTTACCCAAGCTGGCCTCCAACCGCTATCCTCCTGATCTCAGTCTCCCAAATAGCTAGGATTATAGGCATGAGCCACAGGAACCCAGCCGCATCAGGGTCTTGATGCCGCATCAGAGGCTCCTGGGGATGGGAGGGTGTGGAGTGGAGGAGTCTTTTTTTGGGAGAGGTGATGATACCTTAAGACGACTGCACCCTCCATGCCTCCAACCCATGCAACCCGGGACCTGGGAGCGCCTACAACCCCCCCAGGTAAGCCCAGTGTCAGGGACAGCCAGTTGGTTCGCCTGTCCATGCGGGTCTTGCGATAGGGTTGCTTGTGGGACAGATTCCTGGAGGGACCCGCTTGCAGCCAGGAAGAGCGGGAGTTGGGGGGTCCCGGGCGCCAGACTCCCCATCCAGAGCGGTGGCCCAAAACCGAGGGTGAGCGGTGCGCGCAGCTCAGGGGCAGCTCCGGAGAGGACGCAGTGTGGAAGGTACGGTGCCGAGTGGGGTGCGGGGGCGGCGCGGCCCGGATACAGTGGCGGCGGTGGCGAATGAGGGCGGAGCTCCGGCCGGGCGGGGTGGGGGAACGGGCGAGTGCGGGACGTGGCGTGGGAGGTGCGTTGCCAGAGCGCGGTGCGGTGGGGCGCGTGGCGCGGCGAGGGCGGGCGGGCGTGGAGCGCGGGGCGGGGCGGGGAGGGTTCCGCGCTCCATCCGCCCCACGCGCCCGCGCCGCGCTCTTCGCGCTCCCGCCCTCCGGTGTTGCCGCGCGGCCGCAGGCGAAGCAACTTTGCTGCCCCGAGGCCGGTCGGCCCCGTCCCGCGCAGCGCCGGCGAGGCCATGGACGTGCTGGGCTGGCTGCTGCCCGCGCTCCTGCTGCTGTGCGCGCAGCCGCGCCGCGGGGCCAGGTGAGCGGGCGCGGGGGGTCGGGCGGGCGCTGCCCCGGGAGCCCTCGGCGGGGCGTCCAGACCGCGCTGCCCGGGAGCGGCCGGTGCGAACCTCGGTCCCCGCGGAGCGTTCCCGCGTCCACCCTCCCGTCTGCCCCCGGGCTCCTCTCCAACAACTGCCCCGACGCTGCCGATGGCCTCGGGACCCCGCTGCCTTGCGCGCGCCGCCCGGGTGCTGTCCGCCGTCCCCGGTGCTGAAGGCGCCGGCTGCGGGGCAGGACCAGCGCAGTGCGGGACGGCTCCCCGTGTCCTCGGCCGGCCCTGCCCGGCTGATGCCCTTCCAGGCGCTGAGCTGAGGCTTGTCGGGACAGCTGCGGGAGGAAGAGAGGAGAGATCGAGAACTGGAGGTGGGGTGGGGGAGGGACTGCCCGTGGGCGCGAGCAGCGTCCATTGCCACTCCGGCTGGACGCACCGGGCGGGCACATCCTAACGGCTGTGTTGTTAGCGGGTCCCAGTCGCTGGGGAGGAGAGAGGGGGGGTCTCCTCTTCTCTGGAGCCTTTTCAAATTGCAGGGACTGAAGTCCAGAGTGTGCAGGTGGACGGCTGCCAGGTGCCCCCAGCAGCGGAGAGGGACTGCGGGGTTTCTTGTTAACTATTAGGGGATGGAGGGATCTGCCTCCCCAGAGAGGGGAGAGGCCGAGAAGAAAGATCCCTGGGCTGGAGCTCTGACCGTCCCTCTGACTTCTGCACCGGCACCATACCTGGCTGGCTTTTCTCCTCTCTCAGATCTATAATGGGATCATGGTCACCAGGGAATCTTGGGTCCCAGCACTCAGCCCAGCCCCCTGCTGTGGGAGTCGTGAGAATCCAGTGAGGGGCCTTTATGAAAATCATCGTGGTGCAGGGTTTGCAGATAAACAGCCCAAACAGGTCCCCCAGCATTGTGGACTTCAGGGTCACTCTGTCTCCAGGGTGGACACTGGAGACGGTTAGACACCAGAAATGGCTGGGCATCAGTCTGTATTTCGGCTTGTAGGCATTCAGGGAGTGTGTACAGGGTGTCAGTCCTTGCTGGTGAGTGGGAGACAGACCTAAAAGGCATAGGTTGGGCCGGAGACCACAGGCTGGGTACTGATTGTGAACCTCTGAGCAGCTGCTGTCCTGCGAAGAGCTTTGCTCTTTCATCAGCCCCCCACCATGGACCTTTTCTCCCTTCCTCCCATCTCCTTTCCCGACTTCAATCCAGCAGAAGGGATGGCATGGGGTTTCCCGGCAGATGTATGTGCCAGGGGCTGGGGTCACTGTCATCCAGGCCCACAGCCACGTAAGCCAAGAACCTGAAATCCAAAAGATCTCAAAGTTTTAGCCCAAGTTTGACACCAAAACTCATCTGGCAGCAAATCCTCAGCTGCACTTGACACGCTTACTTTGTGCTTATTACTCTACTGATCCTATTAATAGATTTCCTGCTGGGAAATTCTCCAGACCCCACCACAAGTCTGTATGTGCAGCATAACCCCTTCCCAAAATCTGAAAAATTCTGAATCCTAGCTCATGGTGGCCCCTGGGATCTTGGATAGGGATTGTGAAATTGTTTACCTGGGCAGGAAGGCTGGGAGAACACAGCCCCTCTGGGAGGAGGGCTCTGGGGTTGTCATCATTCCCATCCTACAGGGGGAGGGCACCCTGCATGGTGATAGATGCCACCACCCTGCAAAGCCCTCATCTCATCCTTTAATGGCAAACAGTTACTGTCTTGCTACATTTTAAAGTATCTTTTTATATGAAGCTGCCCAAGCCTCCTGCTCTTGGCTTTGGCCTGTCAATGGCACAGGATGAAGACATGGCTGAAGGCTCTGTCTAAGGTGGGATGTGACTTGGGGACCAGGGACACAGTTGCCAACTCAGCCCTTGTGATGACCTTCAGACTTAGCGTGGCGCTGTCTATACAGGGCCTCCTGTCCATCAGCTTTTGTGTTCCCTCCACTCTCAACAGCTGCCCTTCTTCCCTTAGCCTCTAGGTCCTCATCTTTGGGGTGGTGTGACGGGCAATGTCCCTGCTCAGTCCAGATCCCAGTGTTTCCTCGTGGAAGAGGTTGGCGGGATAAGAGGGGAGTGCAGGTGCTACATTCAGGGGTGCTCCCTGAGCCTGAAGATCCACACACGAAGTGGACACTGAGCTTGCTGACTGCTTGCCGTGTGGGTGTCCTCCCGGGCTGCTGGCACCTCCATCTCCCTGGAGCTTACAGTGCGACAGTCCTCTTTGCCTTGGTAACTGGGATGCTAGTGAGGTTTGTGTTGCTCTAAAAGTGGAGCTGTTGGGAGCTGTGGGCTTGTGTGTGCACAGTGGATGGATCCTGCAGGGAGAAGCATCCTGTTGCCTTGCTCTGCTTTCTGTCCCCACGGGCACAGACAAGTGACAGGGAGGTGTGGCTTTGTTTCTCAGTGGGGCTGGGCGGGGGGGGGCGGGGAGGACGGCCTGATGACACACTGGGAGCAGCCCAAGATGGCAGCTAATACGTCTTCACCATGCCTGTTCTGCTGCACGAGTTTGAATTCCTAAACTCAAGTGCAGACTTGGAGCTTGGCGTATGTCTGTGAGCTTCTCCGTTCATCCACCCAAAGGCTATTTCAACTCTAGGCCACCCTTGGGCTCCAAGACCACCAGGAAGAGTCTGCCGCCCTCTGCCAAGTTCTCCCTGACTTACAGCAGAGTGAAAACCTTCCTGCCCCACACCATGCTCCCTGGTGGGGTTTGTGCCCTCTCACCCTGCCAGCAATGCCTGCTTTGTGTAACCTTGTGTGAGCCAGTTGTGGCGTCCAGCACCAAAAGTCTAGCTAGAGCTCGTCTTCCTCCACACCCTAGTCCTTCACATTGGCTCAAAACTGGGAAAAGTCACTGTCCTAGGAGAGAGGTGACATGGAGTAGGTGGAGTCTTCTCACTCCAGGAGATGGCAAAGACCACTGCTTTGCTGGTCAAGGTGAGCCTCCTGGGGCTAACCTTATGCCCCAAGCAGGCCTGGGACTGGGGGAGAGGGAACACACACGTATGACACCAGCCTGAAATGGGTAAGAGATAGGTCCCAGGAAGGATGGTGTGTCCTGATTGCCTCACTCCACACTGCCTAGATGACAGCTGGCTAGTCCAAAAATAAAGTCTCTTTACACCTGACCTTCAGGGCGACTTCCATTTGTATTCCTAGCTGTACTTTGTGAGGGGCCAGGACTTAATTTAACTATTTTGTGCCTTGTTACTGTAGTCCTGCCTTGTCCCTAGCCCTGCTCCAGCCGTCAGCCTGGGGTCTGGTGGGGATAGTGTCTGTCTGGAATGGAGACAGTAGATTTGTACATCTTATACTGCCCAGGGTGATGTACCAGAGTACTTGAACTGTGTAGATCAGAAATTTGCAAAACCTCGTTAGCTAAGGAAATCTTGGTTCAAAGAGAACCTCTTCAAAAGACCAATAATATGAAGCAGAAAAAAGAAAAGTGTCTGGATGGAAAGTGGGGACCTGGGTGCCCCACCGTTGGTGCCTCCCAAACCCAGGTGGCCCTCATGGCTCCTAAGACACACCTAAGAGTACAGTGCAAGAAACAAGGTCCTGTGGGACAGAGGGAAAGGGCAGGCTGAACCCATCTCCCCAAGTCACTTCCCATAGTTTCGTCAGAATTGTGTTTAAAATGTGAGCCTCACCATGCATCCTCTTGTTCAAAATCCCTGTCTGACTCTCAATGGAGGCTTATTCTGTGTACAGGGCCTTCTGCAGCCCCTCCTCCAATATTCACCGTGGCCTCTGAGCTTTCCCTGCCCACAGTCCAGAACCCTCTCTGGCTGCCATGCCTCTACCTTGGATACTCAGTTTCATGCCTTTGGGCTCCAGTGTCATGTTCTCAGGGAGGCTGTTCCCCTGTATTGCTGCCAGCCCTGCTGGGGGCATTTTGGCCCCTTATATGGAGCACTCAGTACTCTTAAAGCCACTTGCTTTGTTTCTCCACACAAGACTTGGACCTCTACATGGCCTGAGCTGGGGCTATCTATTCATGGCTCAGCCTCATTTCCAGAGGAGGGCCCACATCAAGAGGTTACTTGATGACATTTGTGGATGGATGGGTGGATGGATGGATGGGTGGGTGGGTGGATGGGTGGGCTGATGGGTAGATGGGTGGATGGATGGTTGGGTGGATGGATGGATGGGTGGGTGGGTGGACGGGTGGATGGAGGGTGGATGGATGGATGGGTGGGTGGATGGATGGGTGAGTGGGTGGATGACTGGATGGTGGATGGGTGGATGGATGGGTGGATGGGTAGATGGGTGGATGGATGGTTGGGTGGATGGATGGATGGGTGGGTGGGTGGATGACTGGATGGTGGATGGGTGGCTGGATGGGTGGCTGGATGGGTGGCTGAATGGGTGGGTGGATGGATTGGTGAATAGATGAATGACTAGGAAGAAGACCTGGGGCTTTGGTTCCTAGGGCTTTGTCTCAAAGTAGGACTCAGAAAGGTGATGCATAGCCAGGTGCAGTGGCTCATGCCTATAATTCTAACTAACCATGAGGCAGAGATCACAAGGATCTTGATGGTTTGAGACCAACCCGGGCAGACAGTTCTAGAGACCCATCTCAACCAATAAGGTTGGGCGCAATTGTGCATGACTGTCATGCCAGCTATGGGGGCAGTGGAAATAGGAGGATGGAGGCAAGGCTGGTCTGGGCATAAACTCAAGACCCTATTTGAAAGCAAAAAGAGCTGGCAGTGTGGCTCAAGTGGTAGAGTGCCTGCTGAGCAAGCACAAGGCCATGAGTTCAAACCCCAGTACTGCCAAAAAGAAAGAAAGAAAGGTGATGGAGAGTGGAAGGTGCATTCATGAGTGAGGGGGAGGGAGCTGGAGAGTCTGGAGGGCCAGCAGGCAGCTCAGTGGGAGAAGCCAGAGAGAGAGAGAGATGGGGGCAGTTACAGCAGGCCTGGAGAAAGGTGAAGGGGCTGGGGAGACAGGGAAGAGTAGGCTGAAGGTGGAGCAGGAGAAGGAGGCATGGTCCCTTAGCGTAGCAGAAGGCTCCTTAGGAACGGAGTGGAGAGAGGGGTTGGACTGTAATTGCCTGTGTGAGGAGCTGGATGTGGAGACTAGTGACAGGGCTTGGGCTTGACTCCTGCAGGTAGAGTGAGCCCTGCTGCTACCCTTGAGGGAGCAGGAGACCAAGGGTGAGCCTGGATGGGTGCCCCATGTGAGGAGGGGAGCAGTCAGTGCGTGGAGGAGAACCAGCCACTTAGGATCTGATGCTGCGCAGAGACTGCGGCCCTCTGGCAGTGACCTGATGGAATAGCCCAGGGAGGGACCTGATCTCTCTAGGCCAGGAGTATGGCTGGCTCAGATTCTCTCCCCCAGGGCTCAATTCAGGCTCAGGGCCAAGGTGACCCAGAGGCCTGGTCTGAGCCCCCTGGAACAGCAGTGAGCCGGAGTAACAAGTGCCTCGCCTCCATCCTCACTGTTTGAGGAGGGTGCCCTCCTCCACAGTGGACTGTCCCTCCATGGTCATGGGCAGAAGGATGGGGTACATCAGTGTCCCATATGCTGCTGCAATAAATTAGCACAAATAAGGTGGCTTCAAACAATGGACGTTTATTCTTTTATGCTTCTGCAGGTCAGAAATTAAAATTCTCTGGAAAGTCTGAGGGGTACCTGTCCCAGTCTCCTCCCCTGCTTCTGCTGGTGTCAGCAGTCCTTGACTCCTAGACGCACCCTCTGTCTTCCCTCTTGCCTGTTTTCCCCTAAAGACAGTCATGGGATTAGGGCTGCTAATGACCTCATGTTAACTAAGCCCATCTGCAAAGACCCTGTTCCCAAACAAAGTTTCATGCAGAGCTTTCAAAGGACATAAATTTGGGGAGACACTGTTCCTCCCAGTTCAGATGAACTGAAGAAGGGGTGGGTGGGGTAGTTGGGGCTCCGTGCCCTGGGGAAGGGGCAAAATGCCTCCTTTGTGTTGTCACTTTAGATCCCATGGGAGGGAGCACTATCCCCTGTGACCCTGCTACAGACAACAAAGCCATACAGGCTGCTGTGGGATTTGCCTGCCCCCAGTGGCTCTGGGGTCAAGCTGAGCCCTAGAAGCACTGGGCATTTGGAGGGCCCAGCCTGGGCCTTCCAGAAGGGAGAAAGCAGGAGCCTCTGGGCCCAGCGTGGGGGCCCCCCCTCTCCTTATTCCTCATACTTCTTTCTTCTCAAGAAAGAAGTGGGAATCTTCACTAGTAGATGGTGGCAGGGAGGTCTTATCTCTGTTGGGGTCCTCCAATTTCTCTTTGGGGCTTTGGGGTGGCTACTTGCCTGGACTCTGGGTTGCCCTCCCTGGGCAGGAGGGAGCCACAGGAGGCCACTGAAGGAGCCTAGGGGGTCAGCCACATACCGGGAGGGGCCTGCAGCGAGCAGACAGGCAGGTAGAAAAGCAGGGGACCTCCCTCCCAAGCTTTCCTGGGTCAGGCCCAAGCTGTCCGCAGGGGCTGCTGCCTGGCGTTCCCTGCGTTCCCTGGCGTCCCCGAGGATAGTGCTTCACCCCCGGGCTCGGGCTCAGGCCCAGGTCTCCTGCCGGTGGGCAACCAGACGTTCTTGCGTTCCCAGGGCGATGAATGACATTGGGGACTATGTGGGTTCCAACCTGGAGATATCCTGGCTCCCCAACCTGGACGGCTTAATGGAGGGCTATGCCCGCAACTTCCGGCCCGGCATTGGAGGTGAGGTCACGGGCGGGCAGGGACCACTTCAGCCTGGGTTGGCTGCATGGGTGAGTCCTGAGCCTGCAGAGGCCCTGGTTGTCCCTTCCTGTCCTGCCTCTCTGGGCTTGAGTGAAGAGCCTGGCCTGGCAGGGCCGTTGGGGACTCTGGACTGGGTGGGGACCCTGACATGCTGGCTTCAACACCACCACCCTTGCTTCTTCTCGCAGGCCCCCCTGTAAATGTGGCGCTTGCCCTCGAGGTAGCCAGCATTGACCACATCTCAGAGGTGAACATGGTAGGTGACCGCCGCTCTGCACCACGGGTCACGTGCACTGAGAGTAGGATGAACTGACCAGTACCCCGGCCACCCTGCCGCCTCTGCAGGAGTACACCATGACCGTGTTCCTACACCAGAGCTGGAGGGACAGCAGGCTCTCCTACAACCACACCAATGAGACCCTGGGCCTGGACAGCCGGTTTGTGGACAGGCTCTGGCTTCCTGACACCTTCATCGTGAACGCCAAGTCAGCCTGGTTCCATGATGTGACTGTGGAGAACAAGCTCATCCGGCTGCAGCCCGACGGCGTGATCCTCTACAGCATTCGGTGAGCCCGGCCTGTTCTCTGCGTCCTGGAGAAGGGTGTCCAGGCCCCAGCAGTGGCTCACTGGGTGCTGCAGGGCTAGCGAGCCCGGGAGGCTTCTGCTGCTAGCTGAGATGGGGTGGGTAGAGACTGTGACGTTAATTACACCCTCTAACTCCCAGCAGCTGCTTAGGAGAGACATCAGCTCCGAAGGTTTCTGACAGGGAGCCAATAAATGTGGCTTTTTGTTTTTAAAATGGGCTTAAGTTCCTAGAACACAAATTAACCATCTTAAAGTGAATGGTTCACTTAGGACGCTTAGTACATTCACCTTCTACAATCCTTACCTTTATCTAGCTCCAAGACATCCCATTGTCCCCAAAAAAGCTCCCAGTGTGTGAGGTGTGAAGGCTACACCCATCAAACAGTCACTCTTTACTTCCCAATCCTGAATTCAGACTCTGAGCAGCACCAGTCTGCTTTCTGCCCCCACAGCTTTGCCTATTCTGGAAGTTTCATGTAAACGGAATCATACGCTATGTTACCCTTCGTGCCTGGAGTCTTCCACTCAGCATCGTGTGCTCAGGGGTCATCTGTGTTGTAGTGTGTGTGCCTGCTTTATTCCTTTTCATGGCTGAATAATACTCCATTGCGTGGGTAGTCCACATATTGTTCATCCGTTCGTCTGGGTTGCTGTTGTGAACAGTATGGCTCTGAACATATATGTGTGCCTATTTGTTTGGACACCTGGTTTTAGATACATGCCTTTTAAACATTTTTTTAAAAATCTAATTTTCTGCTCCTGAAAAATCAGAACAATTGGCAACCCTGTGGCCATCACCTTTCCCTTGGGCCAGGGCCTGGGAGTCTAGGCTGGTCCCTGCCCTATAAGCCCTGAACTTGGACAAATAGCCAGGCATTTGAAAGGAGAAGGACAGTGGAATGGCACAAGTGATAGAGTGCCTGCCTAGCAAGTGTGAGGCCCTGAGTTCAAACCCCAGTACCGTTAAAAAAAAAATGTAGAAAGGAGGAAGAGAATGAATGAAACCTACTTCATCATAGTCCTAAAGTTAGTTTCAAATATATAAAATTGGCCACAGTTTTCACCCAGACGCTGGGAATTTTGCAGACAAAGCCCGAGAGGCAGCTGGCTGCAAGCAGGCCACTTCTCTGAGTTGGTGCAGGGGCATCTCTGCCTGAAGGGGGAGGGGAACTGCCAGTTTCCCAGAGGGCTCCTCGGCCTCACCGATGCTTTGTCTGGGTAGGATCACCTCCACAGTGGCCTGTGACATGGACCTCGCCAAGTACCCAATGGACGAGCAAGAGTGCATGCTGGACTTGGAGAGCTGTGAGTGCCGCCCCTGGCAGGTTTGGGGCTCCTCCCTGGGTGGGCTGCTCTGGCTTCTCCAACAGGGCAGGGGCACTCAGAGGCCTGTGCGCCCAGGGCCTGGACAAGGCTGGTCTGGTTCAGAGGGTTAGGGTCTGGCTTAGGGGTCAAGGAAGCAAAAGCCTGGGCAGAAGAACAAAGGGCTGGAAGGTCTGGAGCAGCTTGGCCGTGGGCCCCTGGGGTGAGGCCTGGGAAGGATGGGCTGTGTCCACCAGGCTGACCCAATAACACAGACCGCGGTCAGCCTGAGTTCCTGTGCACCGTCAACAGCTGTGGCCCTACTTTTGTCAGCACTCCTGGCCCCATCCACCAGCACAGATGTGCAGGGCATGGTCCCAGAGCCAACCACCTTTGTTCCTGGCTGGACTCTTGCTCTGTCCCTGTACTGGGTCAGCCCACTCTCAGAACCCACGAATGGCTGGGCGTTCTTGCCTGGGCCTGTGCCCACTTGCAGCTCTCCTGCAGATGGCTACTCTTCTGAAGACATTGTCTACTACTGGTCTGAAAACCAAGACCAGATCCACGGGCTGGACAGGCTGCAGCTGGCCCAGTTCACCATCACCAGCTACCGCTTCACCACCGAGCTTATGAACTTCAAATCGGGTAACGAGCCGGCTGTGTGTTCTCATGCTTCCTAACCGAGCCACCTGCTGGCTGTGAGGGTCTGAGGAGGCCCGAGCTGCTGAGCAGCACAGGCTGTGCCCACACGGGTCTGGGGATATGCCATTGGGTCACATGGCCTGGTTTCCACCCTCTTATCCCTCAGTCCTTTCTCTCGTCCCAACACTCTGAGCTTACGGGGAACTTTATGAGGGTAGGCGGGGGAGAGAGCCTTCTTAGCCCCAGGACTAAGAAGGTCAGGCCACCCTGACCTTCCAATGCATAACTGTACATGGAAGGGGTGTTTGCAGAAAAGGGGGCAAGCCCTCTCTGAATGGCTGGGAGGGTCCATCAGGGCCAGTTCAGGAAACCTGAGGCCAACAGCAACACTGGCCTGTCTCTCCTCTTTATTCTCTGGGTGGCCCTGTAGTAGGGCCAGACCTAGGGCAAGAGCGACTCCTTGACCCATCCAGGCTGTGTAGGGTGGGTGGGAAAGTTGAGTTCTGGGGTCTCCCTTCTGAGTCTCACAGTGGACCCAAGTACCCACCAAGGGGGCCTTGTGTCCTGATTTGTGGGAGGGTCGGGCAGGGAATGCTGGTCTGATGGGGGTTGTCTCTGCAGCCGGCCAGTTCCCTCGGCTCAGCCTGCACTTCCAGCTACGGAGGAACCGGGGTGTCTACATCATCCAGTCCTATATGCCTTCTGTCCTTCTGGTCGCCATGTCCTGGGTCTCTTTCTGGATTAGCCAGGCAGCAGTGCCTGCCAGGGTGTCTCTAGGTATGGAAGGGGGCTCGCCTCTCCTCCCTAGGAGCTGGAGGAAGGGATGCACATGGAGCAGGACACCCTGCAAGCCACGAGCCTAGCCCTTGGACCCCAGGTCCTGTGCCACCCATCTTGAGGCAGTGGCCAGCCCAGCCAGGTCTCTTCTGAGAGCCTGACCTGCATGGGGGAGGGGATGAAAGGCTGGGTTGCGGGGAGACCCTCCCTCTCAGGCCCTGCTGAGCTGGGGGAGGAGAGGGGAGATGATGGGGCTCTAGTAATGCCCACCCATGTCTGCTGTGCTTATCAGGCATCACCACTGTGCTGACAATGACCACGCTGATGGTCAGCGCCCGCTCCTCCCTGCCCCGGGCATCGGCCATCAAGGCGCTGGATGTGTACTTCTGGATCTGCTACGTCTTTGTGTTCTCTGCCCTGGTGGAGTATGCCTTTGCTCACTTCAATGCAGACTACAAGAAGAAACGAAAGGTCAAGGTCAAGGTCACGAAACAGAGGGCAGAGGTAAGAGGCGGATGGGCGTGCCTCAGGGCTGAGAACCAAGGATGGACCCTCACGGGGCACAAGGGAAGGGGTGCATTCCTGGGGACCCACCCAGGCCCCTCTGCTGGTAGCATCTGGGGCAGTCATTGGGGCTCCTCGGGTCACACTGCCACTTGCCCAAACGGAGTCCTGCGTGGGAGCCCTGTTCAACCAGAGCCCTGGTTCAGCACTTAGTCCTGTCCCTTCCCCTCCCCCCACGCAGATGGACATAAGAAACGCCATTGTCCTCTTCTCCCTCTCTGCTGCCGGGGTCACCCAGGAGCTGGCCGTCTCCCGCCGGCAGTGTCGCGTCTCTGGGAACCTCATGGGCTCCTATAGGTCAGTGGAGGTAGAGACAGGAGAGACGAAAAAAGAAGGGGGGGCCCGCCAAGGGGCCTCCGCGCCAGGTTCAAGCCCATCGACGCAGACACCATCGACATCTATGCCCGTGCTGTGTTCCCTGCCGCCTTCGCGGCTGTCAATATCATCTACTGGGCGGCCTATACCATGTGAGGGTCACCTTCACTCACCAAGCTGCCCAGGGGGTGGCAGCTGCCAGAAACTCCCAGACGAGGAGCTCTCTGTGCGTTTCAAAGTGGGATGACGGTGACAGTTGTGCCGCTTAGAACAAGAGGAAACCTTGGCCTCCCTCAGCTTTACCCCAACCTCTCCAGACAAAGCAACGTGGGCTGCCGATGGTGGTAGAACCGGCCTGACCTGAGGCTGAGCCAGGCATGATGGAGCCCTGGGGAGCTATAATTTTTGGACACAGACTGATCTTGATTCTAGGCCTTTGCTCTGCAGGGGGAGGCAGGAGTGGACAGCCTCTGTCATGGTGAAATGGTGGTGAAGGGCATCATGAGGTCTTTGGGCCCAGCATGAAATAAAGCTTTGACCTGATGGCCCAGTTAGTCTCTGTTGCAGAAGCTGTGCTATAGCCTCCTCTCCCTATGCCCGGAATGTCATCGTCCCCACAGGCTCAGTGGCAGGATTTGGGTTGGAGGTACAGTCTGGGAAAACCCACAGAACACTGGGTGGTTTATGTACACTTTTGGGGAAGCAGTGGGGTCAGAGTCGCCAGGAGGCTGAGGTTGCCAGAGGGGTGGATCTGGGAGCTTGGGAAGGAGAGGAATCCACTTTGGTGACACTGGTGTCCTGCGTTGATGCCTTTCTTGTCTTGATGGGGCCATTTCCCTAAATGTGAAAGCAGGTTCAGGAACATGGCTGGGCACCTGAGCTCAGGAGTGGCCGATCCCAGAGCCCTGTGATTTTGAGATGCCTTCTCCAAATCTCAGAACTAGGGACAACCACAGGGTCAGGGGAACCAGGGGCTACATCCCAGAAAATGAGCTGTGTGGCCCTGTGCAGGGCACCAGCGAGGACAGAGGTGTGGGGGCGTGGAGGCTGCTCAAGGAGTTGCCACCTCTTGGTCTCCCAAGATGTGATGCCTTCTTGGATGAGGTAATGGGAATTCAGAGGCCACCCAAGGCCCTACACATGCCCTCCAGTCCCTCCCTACCTGCTGTGGCTGCCAAGAACTCAGCATGACAGACTGCAGCCCAGGGACCCACAGCCACTGGAGCCTATGACAAGCAGCTCTTAATAAGGGGTCTAGCTTTCCACAGCACTGGTCATTCCACAAGAAGAAACAAAGGGTACAATTAGCAGAACAGCTGTTCACACTGCATCTGCTGCATGGTCCAGCCTGCCACAGCCAGCAGAGGCCAGCTTGAGAAGTGACAAAGTCCATCAGGTCCAGCACCCTGCTTAATCAGGGTGGTGCCAGCCCATGCCCACTGGCCCTGCAGCAGCTCCCTGGTGTCCCCCACCCCCACCTCACTGGAGAGCTTAGTGGCGACTGTGTGAACCATCGAGAGTGTCTGCTGTCCACTGGCCATAGCACGGCCTGGCCAGTAGCCCTCAGTAGCCCTAGACTTTTGTCAGTGGTAGAGTCATAAAGTCACCATGGGGCCCGGGACACAGGGATGAGCTGCTCCTAAACAGCAGAGAAGGGCATTGGCTCCTCTGCCCAGACCATAGCCTGGTCCTCACCACCTCTGCCTCCAGCTCAAAGAGCCTTCACTTCCTAAGGACCCCTCTTTTCACCCAGGCTGACCTGTGGGCCTGTGCTAAAATATGAGGCTGTAAAACTTGGCAGCTGAACTAAGGGGTGGGAGGACTGGGCTCTAGTGTGACCAGGAGCTGCAAACAGAACAGGCCTCGGAGCCAGCAGGGAGCAGGTGGCCAAGCAGCAGCAGAGCCGGATCTGGGTCAGCTGAGGCTCCAGGCCACCTCCCAACTGCAGGGGGAGGCAGGCCGAGTCCAGCCACCTCGAGGTAGCCCCAGGATAGACATTTCCTACTCTGGCCCAGGGACAGGGGCTCTTTCCCCACCTCAGCACCTTTGCTGTGTGTGCCTCCCTGCAGGGTTACTGTTCTCTACCTCCATGGACCCAGAGAGTAACTCAGGAATGGGGGACCCAAGCTAAGGACAGTGCACTTGGGATCTTCTGGTCCCAAGAGTGCTGACTGCCACCTCCCACCCCAGGGACAACCAAGTTCCTGCCCCAAGGAAGGCGGATGGTCAACTCCGGCTCTGGATTATTGTGGAGGGGTGGGTGGGTCCCACAGGGTGGGTTTTGTATGCAGAAGGCAGCAGTGTGATACCTTCCAATGCCAGGACCTGCCCCTTCCCAGTGCCTGCTATGCCCTGCCTCCTTGCCGCCTGTAGGCTGCCCTCTTTCTGTAGCATGTGCCCACGGGGAGCTATTTAAAGCAGGCCTTTGCGACTGCCTTGGGTTCCCACGCAGCCAGGCCCACCCAGGCAGCAGCCTTTGCTTGATTCCGCAACCAGCAATCACTGCCTCCAGTGTGCAGGCTGCTATTTCTGCCCACATATTTACAGGGCGGAGGAAGGATGGGAAGGACTGATGCTTTTCAAACACCGGCTTCTATTCTGGCAGCGATGAGAAGAGCAGACTGAAGGCCAGGGGCAAATCAAGTCTGCAGCTGAAAGGAACCAGCTTTGGGTGTGTGGGGGGGATGTTAGCACCACCTGTCCGTGATGGCACCTGAGGAGGAGGGCGGCAGGCAGGAGGTGCCTCATCCCAGCAGGGACAGGTGTTTGGGGTTTGATGGCTCCGCCCTCTCTGTCCAAGCTGGAGTGTGTGCTGTAAACATGGATTTCTAGTGGTCCTGGAGCTGGGCCCACTCTTTCCCTAGGCTGGGGGGATGGTGAGAGGGCCTGTTGCCAGGGGACAGTGCCCTAGCTTCTCTCTGCAGCTGGGGCATGGTAGCGCTTGTCCTGCCCATCCATGCCCCAGTGTACAAGCCTGCCCCTCCTGTCAGTGATGCACAAGTCCATGTGGAGGCCTGTTCTGCTGTGGGTTCCCCTCCAGCAGAGCCTAGACAAGGATGTGGGTGCAGGGAGTTGATTTGAGGGTGGGGTTGTGAGTTTTCTAGGGCCACCGTAATAAACCCCAATGTGGGCAGGGTTGGCTCCAGGGGAAAATTTCATTCTAGGTTCTAGGGCTACTGGCAGTCCTTGGTTTGAAGACACATGACCCTAATCTCTGCCTTCATCACCACACAGCCTCTCTCTCTCTCTCTCTCTCTCTCTCTCTCCTCTCTCTCTCTCTCTCTCTCTCTTTCTGCTGGGGTTGGAACTCAGGGCTTCTGTCTAGCTAAAGCACTCTATCCCTTAAGACATGCACCTGTCCTTTTGTATTTTGGTTTTGAGATAAGGTCTCACTAAATTTCTCCAGGCTGGGCTAGCCTCAAACTCTTGATTGTCCTGCCTTTACCTCCCAAGTAGCTGGGATTACAATGCCTGGCTCTCTCTTCTTCTACAAGCACCTGTCATTAGATTTAAGGCCCACCTCATGTGACCGATCTTAACTGTAGATAAAGTCACATTCTGAGGTTTGGTGTGTTGCAGTCTAGGGGGATGCTATTCAGTTCAGTCCAGGGTGACGCCAGAAGCAGAAGCCACAGAGTAAGAAGTTGGGAGAGATGAGTGAGGAAAGAGGAAAAACCGGAACTGTGTTTTGTGACCTGGGCCACCAAGGTCCAGTCCCAAGGGGCATGTGTCCACTAACCCTCATCACCCAGTGAAGGCTTTTCTGGGTCACTGCTGTGTACAAATTGATCAAACACCCCTGGCACTGCCAGGGAGTGAGGTCTAGTCACCATGCTGCTGCTTGAACCAGATGCAGCCTGAGGGGCACAGGGACCCCATCCACACACACACACACACACACACACACACACACACTGCTCAGACACTATGTTAAGTTCGCCTGTGACTAACTCTTTAAGGAGGTGACTGTCATAGCAACAATGGCCACCAGAAAAATCCAGCAGAGGATTGGTGTGATAAGTTGGGCTGTCTCCATGGCTACAGGTGGCCCCACGGCATGACATGCTTGGATCAATTACTTCCCTCCTCCTCACCCATCCCTGGCCAGCATGCAGGTAGAGGCACCTCTGGTGCAGGGACCCAGGCCCTGACAGGGTGAGCTGTTAACCAGCAGAGCTCATCTCTCACTCACCAGAGGCTGGAAATCCAAGGTCAGGCCAGCCAGGTCAGATTCTGGAGAGGGCACTCTTCTGGGTAGTAGATGGACAAGCTTCACCTTTCTGTAACTTCACATGGCAGGAAGAGGGCAAAGACCTCTCTGGCTTTTTAGAAATCTGTTCACAAGGACTCAATTCTTGTGACCTAACACCGCTGGAAGGCCCAAATATCATCACATTGAGCATAAGATTTCAACCTATCGACTTTGGGAGGACATGACATTCAGTCTACAGCTGACCTCTTCTTCATACTTGTCCAGAGATAGTTCAGTGTCTTCACCTCGTGTCTATTTATTTATTTATTTAGGTGATACTGGGGTTCGAACTCAGGGCCTCATACTTTCTAAACAGGTACTCTACTACTTCAGCCACTCCACCAGTCCTGAGCCTTAGGGCTAAGTAGGGGGAGAATTGGGGCAGGGGACAAGAGTTGTGTGTAATTATCAAACAGTCCTGGGCCCAGGTATGGTACAGTAGTCAGAAGTGTGTTCTGTTGGACCATCATGACTATTTGACCATCGTGTCAGGACTGGTCAGGCAGGGCCTGGTCACAGTAAGGGCATCATTGCTATCCAAGGCGTAGCTTCAACTCTTGTCACAAGGTGCTATCCATCAGTCCTGTCCCTCCTGATCCCAAGGTGGCTGCAGGGTGATGCTCAGAGCAAGACAGATGTAAAATGGAGACAGGGAGGCCAAGCTCTTCTCCTGCTTCCAGTTCCCCTTTGGACACTTGCACCCAAGGGAGGAGTCGGTGCTTCTCAGCAAAAGCAGAATCTATGTTCTGTCACACATGCCCCTCTCCCCAACTCTGCCCTCGGTGACTTCACCTCATCCTGCCTGGCAAACACCATTGGCAAGGCTTCGATTTTTGGGGGAGTTGGCGTATCAGAAGGCCAGGCAGGATGAAGGGACAAGGCAGCTGCCTCTTGTTCTTGAGGT